CCCTGCCCTCCCCCGCTTTGGGTCCAACCCTGCTCCCCCCATACCCCTCTGCTTCATGTCCGCCCCCTCCCCACTCCCCACCACTTCGGCTCCCCTCTGGGAAGGGGCTCACACTCCAGGAAGCCATGATGGGCTGCTGCCTGTCACGGTTACTCAGTGCTAACTGCTCCAGCTGCCGGGCAGGGGTGGGGCCCGGCCTCCACCACTCGGTCTGTGCTCAGGGCATGATTTCCTACCATTTCCTTCTTCACTGACAGCCTCTTTCTTACCCTGTATGTTTACCTCTGTAATGTTTCCCTTTGGCTTCTTTCCCCCCACTGCTTTCTTCCCCCTCCCTCCTCTGCTTTACCTTTTTGTTTCTCCTTTATATTTACACTGCATCCTCTCACACTTTGAGCTCCTCTCATTCATGTTCTCACTGACTGCTACACTTTTAGTTTCTCTCATTTCCTGGAGTCTCAGAACAGCAGAGACTCCTTATACCTGAAGAAGGGTGACTGTGCCCAAACGCTTGCTAACAACTTTTTTCCAATGCTTTTTTCCAAATAAAAGATATCACATCTACTCAAAAAACGTTGCCAACTATTTTGTGGAATGTAAATATCTCATACATTTGAAATGTGCATGCTCTGGAGTTCTGTCATGAGACACTAGCAGGGAACAAAGGCCCACCAAAGCCAACACTTCTCGTAGCAAGAGAGAGACATAAAATAGCAAGAGGCCCACTGGTGAATCCTTGACAATGGACCATGTGGTCAAAAACCTAACAAAAATATAAGAAACCCTTTGTGGTTATTTTCACCTCTCTCCCCCTCTCTCTTTGTGTCTTTTCACTTCTATTTAATGTTGGTCTTCCACCTACAGAGCAATCACTTGGCCCAGGGTGTGCAGCAACCACCCTTTGCCAGAGTGTTCAGTACAGGGAAGTGGCATTTCAGACAGCAGGGTTGAGGCAGGAAGAAGGTAGCCACAGGGGGATATGGAAAAGTCTGGGCACAGGGAGGCAACCTTGGGGGACAGGGATTGGTGAGGCTGGGGAGAGGTAGTATGGGACACCTGACCAGGGTAGCCTTAGCAGAATAAACAGGGATGGGAGAGGCACAGCTGGACAGGTGATTTCACCACTTCAAGGAGGTGTTGTGGCACTGCAGTAGCAGGACGTAATAAATGGGCTTGAGCCATTGCATGCGGGACAGATTGTTGCCCTCGTATAATAGGATGGGATTGGGTGAGAGAACCAGCATGTAGCTCTTTCTTCTGGAGCCACATTTAAATTGCCACCCCTGCAATATGGCATGAGAGTATTGAAACACATAAAATTTAATTATATTTCTAAATACGTTGATAAAAATATGATGTTTTTCCTTTTATCGTTGACAATTTTTGCTACATTCTTCAGGGACAATTCTCAGCAGTTTAATCCGTAAATCTTTTCAGGCAATCTGAATCATTTGTCTGAAAGATTTATTTGTATTCACAGAAAAATCTTAACAAACACATGAGAACGTTTGAAAATGTGGCAGACTCCTATTTTATTTTAAAAAGACACTGTTAGCTTAAACCAAACTTCTGTCTGAAAAAAGGTATATACAGTTATTGCAAATAAAAACCTAAAAATACTGTAATTAAGTGATTGCAGTAGGAAAAATGTTATTTTCTCTCTACGTATCTGCATGTGATGATTCTTTGTTCAGTTTCACTTTCTCCTTTTGTATCATCACTTTCCCCTTTATTTTTTTTTGGGGGTGGGGAAAGGGAATTCATGGAAAAATAATTATCATCAACTGCCATAGGCATTTTTTGTGCTTTTACAGGTTGTGGTTGAATTACCGGAAACTAAAAGAAAATATACACTTGCTAGATTTCAGATTGACAGGGTCTTTTTAGTAACAGTGGTTAGTGTTTGGGTGCCATCTTATTCTTTCTCCTTTGGTGTTTTAGCACATTGTATGTCTGAATGATAGTCTTTGTCTGCTTTGGTGGGGAAAGTTCTTAGAGCAAAACACATGTCCATGTAACAAATTAAAAAAAACCCTTGTATTATTATTATTTCCCAGACATGGGAGACTCGCTACATACTCGTGTTATGGCTCTCCATGATATGCTTGATTCCTTTTGATTTGGCTCTTTTTGATGGAAATATTCCTTCTGAAGATGGGCTTGCTCGGATACCGGTAATGGATCGTATACTCAAAGTAGCAAAAGTAAGCGTAATACACTTTGTAATATACAAAGACTTTATTCTGCTTATGCTGTTGTAATATATGATAGTTTTTTGATCTTTTTATTTCTGACCTTATTTTGTGTAGGTAAGAGTATAGTGCACAGTTACCAGGAACTGGATTTTTCCATTGCTTTTTTTTAATGTTAGTTGGCAATTAGTTTTTTCTGTTTTTTTCTGAAGTGGTAACCTACTATGTTTTAAGAGTGTATAGTATAATTGCATATCTTGTTATCCAAGGTTTGGAGCATAGCCAATTACTCTTCAATATAACTGTCTGTAGCTTGAATATTTTTACACATATATTTCTTAACATCATTTTAATTATAAACTGAATTCTGGACTATACATGGATAACGTAAGATCTGTATTGATAAACTTTCATGCAAAGTTTTACTTGAGGTAAATTAAAATAGCATAACTATAAAACCAGAAAGGAGAGTTGAATACAAGGTAGAAGTGAACAGCTGCTGCTGTTGGCTTTAGAATATACTCCTTTAATGTTGTAGAGAAAAAATTACCCTGTTTTGAAAGACATGGAGATGGAAACTTTAATGCATGTAGTTTTTTAACTTCAGTTTTCACAAGACCAAATATTTCTGAAGTACATGTATGCAAATCTGTTCTGTTGTTACTAAATCTATATGTGCAAATTCTTTTACAGTTAATTTTCTTTTTGCCTTTAGTGTTATTTGGTTGTCAGCGATAAGGCTCGAGATGCAGCTGCTGTACTGGTTTCAAAGTAAGTCGCTTGTTCCGATTTAGACAAAAGAATACTTCCTTTTTTTTCTTCTTTGATTTCTTGCCCTCCCCACATTATTCCATGGTTAACGTGTTAATCGTGGCATAAGTGATGAGAGCTACATGTGTACCCAGTTTAAGGTACCATATAATGGCAAACCAGCCATAAAATAGGTCCACATATGATGTAGAACAATTTTATGGCTGGTTTGTATGGCACCTTAGATAGAATGCGTGGCCGGGCCAACAATTAGCTGATAGCCTGGTCCTATTCTTGGACTTGTGGGCCCCTGGCTTTCAACTTGCTGGTGCAGTGGGAGCCCGGGTTTATAATCTCAGGTTCCCTCTGCACTGACAGGTAGGGTGCAATTGGGATCTAATCCCTGATCCCAAAATCATGTGTCCTGCTATGCTCATGTGGAATGCAAGAGGTGTCATTGTTGGAATCTGGAATCCAGTCCTGTGGTGAATTTAAATGAATGCTGGCTATGAACACATTATTTCTGACAGTATTGGCTAATTTTAAAGTACTGAGAATACCATGTGGAACACTTGCTAAACTTGTCTGAATTGAGCTTAAATATGTATTGAAATTAAAAAGCATTGCTATGAGACAGTTAGTTGTTTTGCCTACCTGAAATGGATGTGTTCCTTTTCATTTAATAGAAGACAGGTCTTTATCATGGTTGATACTGTTAACATTCTGCATCAAGAGGGTTCAAATAGAATTTGAATAGCCTTCTATTACCTGTACTGAATCCTCTTAAGGATAGGTTTTGGTAAAGGATGGGTTTAAGTAATATCCCTGATATCTAGCTCAGCCTATGCCTGCCACATTTGCAGACCTGAGGAAGGGCACTTGACACCCACAGGCTTGTCCAGCAGCTCTCCTAGCAATACATTTGGTCCAATAAAATGTATCGCAAAAAAACCCTTGCCTTTCATCAAGTTTAAGTATTGTAATGAAGTGCAAGACAGCGGAGGACTCTAACCCCTTTGGCTCCAAATATGTCATATAACATGCTATTATAACTTTGAATATGCTAATTATAATTTTAATTTTGACAAGACAAAGCTATGTTTGTTTTATTTTACATGCAAATGAATCTGGTGAAATACATTTTATTGGAAGAAGATGAATGACAAAAGGACTCCAGTAGAAGGCAGGGGAGATGTGCACCTTATAGATTAACTAAATAAGATATACAGAGAGCATATGTTTTCATGAACTTGAGCTCACTTTGTAAGATTCTTTCATATGTCCTAACCCCCCCCCCCCAAAAAAAAAAAAAAAAAAAATTTTTTTTAAAACTTTGCCTCACTTTTTAAAATTTTTTTTATTTTCCCCCCCCCCCCCCCCCCAAAAAAAAAAAAAAATCCTTTAGAGGAGTACCTTTCAAGAGTAAATTGGATGCTTATCTTGCTGGGATCCTATGACCCCAGCTGACTTCCTGCCCCTCGGGTGGGGGGCTGGACTTGATCTTCTGAGGTCCCTTCCAGCCCTAATGTCTATGAAATCTATTTGTATATTCAGTCCTGCCTTTACCATTTTGTACTCAATTTCATTTTACAGTCCAAAGCATTGGTGCCCAACTCATCTTGTCTTGCAGACCAGATCCAGTGCACAAACCTGCTTCATGGGCTTGCTGGCCTCTGTATGGGGCCAGTCTACAGGCCTTCTGAGATCTACCTGTGAGCTGGTCCATGGGTTAGGGATTAGGGGTTAGGGTTAGTGTTTGGGTTAAATGCATAGCAGTTAACCTATAAAGGCACAGTATTACTGCTAATGCATTAGATTCAATCATGATATTAAACTTTACTTCTTCCATAAGGAGCTTACCTTTGGTAATACTTGGGAGCACAGGTGACCAAGATGTGGCTCATGGAGCTGAATTATCTGGCCTGCTGGGCCCCATGTAGAACTGGAAATATGGTGGTAAGACAAGCGGTGGCAGTGTTCATTTCTTCTATTCTGGGAGCTGCAGCAATTAATACTGCAATTGCTCCCTCACTGTCATATTTCTGGATGCAAGGGTAGCCCTGTGGACTGGATGACACAGCTCAGTTCTCCTTGCTTGGTCACCTGTGGTCCACAATATCTGTGGCTACGTTCCATTCTGATTGCGCAGGAATTTGGACACAGGATTAATGCACAGGCCGGGATTTCTGGTGCTGCTGATCACTTTCTGTGTGGTCTTAAGGAAGTTTCTTAACCTTACTGATTTTGCTTATCCACAAAATTGGTATATTTCTCAGGACATATAAGGGTTAAATAATAAGAACAGTTTTCAAATATTCCAATAGAAGTGCAACAAACAGATTGCTCCTTGCAAATTCTGATACTTGCCTGTTTGATTAACAGCATGCAGTAGTGATATTTTCTTAATTTTTATGCAAATTCCCCATATCTGGAGATGGATGTTGATTTTTTCTGTATGGGCAAAACTGTTGCATTAAAAAAATTCTAATAGGAAAACTTGGTGAGAATTTCTGTGGGAAAATGTATCGTCTGTAGCTGTATAAAGTAAAAGTGAGAGATCTTGAGAATTCCAGCTGCAGCTTGGTAAGTTTACAATTGAAATGAAATATTTTAGGTCAGGACCTTGTTTAAAAAGAGTAAAGTTAACTATCTGACAGTTGGAATGTTCCCACCCTAAATTTGTTGGAAAATGTCCATTGGACAATTGCCTTTAGGAATCAAAACCAGTTTGGATAACAGGAAAAATTAGTTACTACTTGATTGCTCTCAATGGGTAACTTGCAGTGTGTTTTTCTGTGACAGGTTTATTACCCGCCCTGATGTCAAACAAAAAAGAATGGCAGACTTTCTGGACTGGACCCTTTCAGTGTTATCTAAATCCTCCTTTCAAACCATGGAGGGGACTATTGTAATGGATGGCATGCTTCAGGCCCTGGTAAACACTGTTGTTAAGTTAAAAGATAATCCTGGTAATTGATTGCCTTTATGATGTTTTTCTTCCATAATGTGTATAAGGGACTTTACTGCTTACACTTCACTCAGCCATGTCTTAAAAATTTATCTTGAGTTTCTAAAAGGGTAACTTTGTAAATGTAGGTTTTGTCATTAAGGCCATGATTCTCAACCAGGATGTCATGGCACCCTGTGTTGCCTTGAGATCTTTTCAAGTGTGTTGTGTGCTGCCATACAATGTAAGCACAGCTAGTGTGCAAACGTGATACACATGCTAAATCCAGAGATATCGAATAGTGAATCTGTAGTATTAAAAACATTCTGCCCTGTTGTGGTCTTTCTGAGTTCTTTGCAACAGAAAAATTGCTCTATTATTTTTCTGTAGTGAAAAAACAAGAGCTGACATTTCCTGAGAGGTGCCTCAAGTCTATCCACGCGTGTCTTGAGTCTAAAATCATTGAGGACCCCTGTATTAGGGACTTAGGCAGATGAGGTTCTTTAGGTAGATGTGATAACTTTTATTAGACCAACTAAATAGTTGGAAAAATTGTTCTTTGCAAGCTTTCATGCACAAACACTCTTCTTCAGGCATAAGGAAAGTCAGTATTAGGGACTTGTTCTTTTTGTCATTGATAAGTACAAGCAAAATATATGTCAGTACCCAATATAATTATATATATATATAAAAGCCAGCCTTGACAGGTGGCAAAAGTTGAGAAATTAACCAGCATTATCCAAACTGGAGATCAGCTGGATAAAGATGCTGTACACCGGGTGCGTGAGCAAGCAGGGTGTTAGTAAACTAGTTTATGACGGCCCCGATTGTGGTGGAGTCAGGTGTCCAGCAGGGCTGCCTACTCCCCCAGATCCTGTTTATCTGTTTGTTGGAACTGCTGGTTCAGTGGCAGAACCCCAGGATCAGTGGAGCAAGGTGCTGGTAAAAACCACCTGCCTCGCTCTGGGTGACCTTGGAGACTTGTCGGTTTTGGAGGTCTCCATCCCCTACAAGGGGGTGAAGATCCTTGGGTTGGAGTTTGACCCAGAGATGACTGGACAGAGGGCATGGGAAAAGACTGAGGCCAAAGTCAAATGGAGACTGGGTCTATGGCGCATGCACTGCCTGTCTATGGGGAGTGTGTGGCACTCATCAGGGTCGTGTTGCTACTGGTACTTCTGTACAGTGCGTTGGTCTTCCCCCATTGGAGCAAGTCACCTTGCCAGAATTCAGAGAGCCAGGTGTGTCTTCTTTTGGGGCTCCAGATTCCCATCTGGAGGCTGCAAGGACCACATTATGTACGATGAAATGGACTGGGGGCAGAGGAATGTCAGATGTCCTGCTGTTCCTCTGGGCTCAGTACATGAGCCAGATCTGCAAACTGGGAACTGGGGCAGTATTGAGAACAGCCTGCTTCGTAAGATACTTTGTAGAGCACCTGTTGTGATACTGGCGAGCGTACACACTGCCCAGCTGAACTGCCTGTGGACTGCAGACACGCCATGGTTCTGTGACGTCCTGAAACCCTTCTGAATTAAATATGATCTGTACAGTGTGACTCCAGTGACCCTGATGAAGCACTATAAGGTGCAGGAGGTGGAAAGGGCAAGAGACAGTTTGTTGGCTGTAAACTTACTACCTGGTGACAGCTCCTAGATTGTGGGAGTGAGTCTTTCACAAGGACATACAGAAGGAACACAGGAATTTGAACTGGCAGGTAGCCCACTGGGCACTTCCCATGCAAGCATGGAAAAACAGACGGGCAGAGAGGCCCATCAAACTGCCCCAGGCAAACCTGCTGATGGAAGGCAGAAACAATTGACCACCTTCTCTAGTACTACCCATTCAGCAGGGACGTGTGGAGGAGCGTAATCGCACTCCTTCTGATGGTGACGGGGTCGAGACCTGACCAGAGAGGTGGTTCTGTTCTGTTACTTGACCAAACAGCAGGAAACCCTGACAGCTTGCTTTGGGTAGTTCTCCTGCTTCAGGAACACCCTAGGGGAGACCAGGGACCTGCTCCTAAACAGTCCTCTCAGTTGAGGACTGCATCAAAATGGGGCTGAGTGAGATGCAAGGGTACTATATAAAAATAGTTGAAGATGGTGGGAAGGAGATGACAGAGAGCGTATGGAAGAAAGAAGACTGGGACAAACAGTTCAGAGGTGGGACCACCACTAGAGAGAAGGATGGCAATGATGGAGATGATGACTGTGATGAATGAAAGGACTGGGGCAACAGGCTGAGAATTGGAAGGGGTGGGGGGGGGGCATTAAGATGGTCCTCTGCATGATTGCAGTGGTT